CTCCTCTCCTTCCTGCCACGCCCCTGCCTCTGCGCCCCCCCCCCTCTCCCCCCCCCCCGACCACACACCGTTAACGGAACGTTGTAGATTTCCCCCAAAATTGGACGTTTCCACCATGTCTTCTCGCTTCACGAGGCCTTCTACTTTTTGACTTTTTCCGAGTTCTTTTTTTCCACTCGGCCATCTCTCTTGATCCCTCCCCCTTGTCAATTCGGAGGGGAAACACGCCTCACCTTCCCCCTGCCTCCCATTTATCCAGCAACCCAACATTCCAGTCCTTAAACACCCGCTCACTCGGCGGAAGGAACCCAGTGCTGCTCTTCAATCCCTCGGCTGCGGCGACAATCGCCGCCGTCGGGAGGTTGACCTCCTGCACGTCAGACGTCATGGACTCGAGCATCGAGTCCGCCTCGTTCTGGGAAATCTCTTTATACAAGACCTTGATTGCGACGCGTTTTGTATGTTGCTGCGAGGAGGCGTAGGTGATGTTGCTGTTGAGGATCCACAGGTGCAGAGCAGGCCATGTCGGCGACGCCTCGTCGGCGCCGCCGGATGCCAGACTCGGAGACGACTGGAACGTTGGCACGACGACCGACTTGGAGGAACCTGACCGCGACAGGGTGGCGAGGAGGGTCGCGGCTAGGCACTCTGAGCTGGTGGGCGGCGCGGGGGCGGGCTGCGATATCGTCTGGCATGACACTTGCCACTTGAGCAGGACGACGGAGGAGATGGCTACGTTGAAGAAGCCGAGGTGGGCTCCGCAGCTGGAGCAGGAGGCGTGGAGCATCCGCGGGGGTGGATCAGATTCGCCAGCTAGGACTTCTGAGCTGGAGGCTGCTGCGCCTGTGCCATCAGGCGATGAAGAAGGAGAGAACTGAATCGAGAGAAGAAGAGTAAGTAAGGAGGGAAAGAGAGAAATACATCACATCGGGCTACACGTAATGGGACGATGTGGATAAGAAAAATTGTCCCTCATTGTTTATTTTGAGGTTTTCCCGAGGCTCTGGAAAATCCTCAGTGAAAGCAAGGAGGGTCCGTCAAGTCTTGCAACCAAAAGCAAGACCAAAACCATCTCGCACACGCAAAAGGGGTGGCGAGAGGTTTCGGTCTTACCCTGGAAGCCTGCGCGAGGACAGGGACGACGGTGTTGGATGGTTTCATCTCGGGGCGGAGTATCGGCGACCAGATCACAGAGTTGGCAGCGAGTTGCTACCGACGTGGCCTCCTTCTTGATGCCCCCGTTTTGAGAGCGCATGTCACGTTTACCGCATCGAATGGGGAAATCCATCCCACGATGTATGGTTTGCTGACGATACAACAACAACAACAACAACGAAAGGGACGGAAACTGAGGAAATCGCTCACCTTTACACCGGCACAGTCGGTCTCGCGGAACAGAAACGACGTCAGATCCACCATGCCGACGCCAGGCTGCGCGGCAATGGACGAGTTCGCTCCGTAGCCGCGCCTGGTCAGATGCTCATGGTCCTCCCCCTCCCCCTCCAGGCCGTGCTCGTGCTCCGTAGCAGGCTTATGGCAGTGCCAAAAGTCCATCATCTCAGCCCAGTTCTCGCTCGGCAGGTCCTTCCACTCCCTCGCCTTTCCCGCGGGCACGACGGACGCGGCGCAGCGTCTGCACGCGACGGCCGAGCCCGGGCGCAGGTCCAGCGCCGTCCAGGGGACGGGGTCGTCGGCGAGGCCGCTGCTGCCGCCGCGCGGTGGCGGGGCCGCGGGGTCTGCTGCCAGCGGGAGACGCCATGATAGCGTGCGCGAGGCCGGCGAGGTGGGTGTGGGCAGGGCGGTATCACCCTGCGCGAGGACCTTTCCTGGGAGCGGGAAGGAGAATGCTGTGCCGGCGTGGTGGATGTGGAGCGTCAGGCCGTCGGGGGCGATGGAGGACTTTGTGTGTCCTCCTGCTGACGAGGGGAGAGTGACTGCGACTGAGAGCTGGCGGATGTTTGTGAGGAGCTCTGCGTAGATGTTTGGTTTGTCGTGAGACGACATGGCGGGCAGGCGTGGTTGATGGGAGGATGAAGAAGGAGAAGTGAGAGCCGCGGGTGGATGAGGTCAGATTTAAGATGTGCTGGAACCCGCTAGGAGTTGGCGCGCTCCCCTAAGGTACCTAGCGAAGTGAATTTAGCGCAACTGGGGCCGGTCCAGCGGTCCGTTGCGGTCGGAGTAGGCCCCGGATGGTGGACTTGGTCACTCCCGCCACCGGGTGGCTTTTTAGTTATCGTTGCAAAGTGATATGGAACTTCATAAAATAAATATCGCCTCATCGCTATGTATAAAACTAAGATGGGTATGAACACAGCAGCTTCCAGTCATATACCACGTCAGAAACAATCATCCTCTCTGCCCTCGGATCCTATCTACTTAGGGACCTCGACCCGAAGCAATTTGATGCTGCTCATAGTCCGGCGCCGGCACATCCAAGTTATCCGCACGAGACTGATTACCCGTAGCCGGTCTCAAATCTCTCATTTCCATGGGCGGGCCCGACGCATCGTCTGGCTTCGTTTCGCCTCTGACGGATGCACGCAGCGCGTACGGATCGACTCTCGAGTACGACGGCAACCTGCGGTCTGCATAGGCATCTTTTGACTGGTGCTCTTCGCGAATGCAACCCACGCGAGAGCGGGTTGCTTCTGCGCGCCTCGCCCGAGCGCCTGCGCGAACGAATTCTTCTAGACGTCTCCTGTCATTTTCTGTCTCTCTTGGCTTCCGTTGGCATTTCCACTTCCCTCGCTCTACGTTCGTCCATCATCGATACTATGTCCGACGGCTCCGGCTCCGGCTCCGATGGGTATAGCTCTGGCTTCCGCAGTCGTTGACCATTGACCACCGAGGTCACGTACGCCGTTTCCGCGAGCAGATGGCTTACGGAGGCAACCCACGTAATGACCAATTTTGGATTGCCGACGCTGTGATAGTTGAAGACGCTCTCGTATTTAGTGAGCATACCAGCCGCCACGCAGGCCGCCATCATCGTCAGGGTCGAGGCGGCGAGCAAGGCTGCCGCCGCCAGAGTATGCGACGCAGCCATGATGCGATACCGATCGAGGGCGTGCTTGATCATGCGGACGAGGAAATTCCATAACCAAACGCACACGGTAAATATCATGAAGACAATGTAGGTTATGAGCGCGGGTTTCGAAGAGGCTATCGTAGGGTCGGGCCCTGGGGAGGTCGATGTTTTGCGATTCCAGGGCCAAGAACCCGCCCATTGAGGACCCCTGGGAGTAGGACGAAGATCTGCCTACAGCGGCGGCAACATCTTCTTAGATGCTCTCGAGGTCAAAGGGGGTGCCGGGGCCCCGGTGAGTGCATCCCTCCCGCCCCGAGTAGTCTTCGTAGAGCTGCGAGTAGCAGTAGCTACTAAGGTATCAAATAACAACGACGGTGCTCCCGGGGGCCAACGAGCTCCGAGGAAACGTCGCCGACCACTATCATCATTATCAATGCAGGCAAAAGGAGAGGGGGTTCTTTGGAGCCTCGCCCTACTCATAGTAACTAGGTGAGACTCGCTATTCTTGATGGCTTTCGGCGATCTCAACCCCGACTTTGACCATGTACCGGCGCATAGAAAGATGGTGAGAGCTGTGGCGAGGGCATAAAAGACCAAAGCGCTCAGAAATAGTAGGCACCGGACGGCTCTCTCCTCGATTCGATTGAGCGTGTGTTTCTTGCCCTGGCTGGGCCTGTCGTCTTCGGCAGATGCGTTCATATCAAATAGTCGAGATGATGCCGCTCTATATCCTGACACGGAGGAGAGTATAAAGTTGTTGACTTTGCGAACAGTGGAATACGTCACCCCTCTCGAGACTTGTTTAAATATATCCATCTACGGCGGTGAGAGGCAATGGCGTAGACTTTTGAGAAAGGGAAAGCAGTATATAGAGTATTGCCACCCGATTGAGCAGGTGATGTTGCTGCCGGGCCTCGTCGTCCAGTGAGTATGGCAAGCCGAGTAGGTTCATACGGCGCAGCTGTCCAGAGAGCTGGATATTTCAGCCTGCAAGCTGGGCATCCATCCTCTTTTGAAGCCAGCAATCTCGGTAGCATCGCGAATAGCTGTAACTTGCGATGGCTAGGTCCGGGGCCCAGCGGCATCTACTCATCAACGGCGTCAACGATACAACGTTGAGCCATTGTCGAATAGTAGAAGATGGCCGTTCATGTCATATTTGCGGGTGACACCGTCCCAACTTGACCAATCAAGCTCGGCTAACCGCGACGATAAGTTGCGATGGCTTCGACGCCAGGTCGAGTGACCGAGTGACATTTAACGGCTTTGGATGGAAGAACGACCGGGAGCGCACAGACCCGACCTTGTCGTGCTTGTATTGGCCCAAAACAGCTTAGCTCGGGAGCTCTGAGGTCCCTCCACTCAGAATTCCGAATTTCACCAGTCAACTTCTGGATTCAACATTGCGATAATACAACGGGCGACAGATCTGAGCACACCCCGATCAGATAAACCCGAGCAACAGACAGTGCAATTCTCGACACAAACACTTGCACCAGTTTCACACCAGATCTTCTCCCCCTCAGACCGTCCAGCTCCCGCAGTCATGGCAACCCTTGGAGGCTACCTCAATAGTGCGTCCCCAAGCTGCCATCTTGCAACACTGCTTCCCCGATGACATACTAACGATTCTCCCAAAACAGAGAAAGTCCTCATCGTGACGTCGGACTCGAGAATCCTGGTGGGCACTTTGGAAGCTGCAGACCAGTCCACGAATCTCGTAAGCCCCCTCTCCCTTCCCCTTCGCAAAGACAACCCTTTTGAATCCGCTGGCTTGCACCTGGCTAACAGACGTTTTGCGCCCCAGGTCCTCAGCAGCGCCCAAGAGCGAGTCATCCAGACCCCCGAGAGCGGCGAGCCCTCCGTCCAAGTGCCCCTCGGCCTATACCTCGTCCGAGGCGACAACGTTTGCACGATTGGCCTGGTAGACGAAGCGCTAGACGATAGCATCAACTGGACCGAAGTCAAGGGTTCCGCCATTGGAGGAACCAAGCACGTATGAAACACACATATTCAAAAGAAAGGTTTCGAGGACGAGAGTGGCTTTTTATTCAATACTGAGTCACGGGATGTTTGATTATGAGCGGGATACCCGAGTGTTGGGAAGGGCATGAGATTGCGCTGCCAACAAGGCAAGCAGGCGTGCGCGCATACAAGCACACATGCACCTGCGCATGCACACACACAAAATAACGGCGTTTTTGCACATATTTGGGTTGCTATAGAATGACATTGGGTTTCCTATGGGGTATGCGCCTGCCTTTCTTCTATCCAGATCTTCCTCCATACTACAAGTCTCAAATGATGTTTGTGCTGACACGAGACAACGACAAAAAGCCCACACTCACAGAGGAGGAGGCTTGAACGCGTGTGTTTTGTCTCCATCTCATCCGAAGATTCTCTTCATCATGTCGGGGGCAAACAACTCCTCCCCAGGAGACTCGATCATCCTGTTGATCCTGTTGCCCCTGCTGGTGCTGAGCCAGCCGCCATTGTCGCCAGGGACCTCGGCCAGTGTCAAGACGTCGACGCTATCGCCGTCCTCGCTGGCCTCGAGGGTAGCCTCGTTGTACTTAACACGGAGTCTGCGATCGATGACGTGCATACCGCGCGTCCACTGGCCGGTCGTCTCGATGCGGATGTCCTCCGGCTCTGCGACAGCCTTCCATTTGGGGTCGGACTGCGTCAGCAGATACCAGACGGTCAGAGGGTCGTGCAGGGAGAGACCAGGCTCCTGTCCGTCGCCCTCCATCTCCACGACCTTCTCGTAGCACTTGGACATGAAGTGGTTGACCCACAGGCCGAGGGGGCTTCCGGATTCGACAATGGGCTTGATGGTCTCCGTGAAGTAGTTCTGTCCGAGCAGGTGGGGAGTCGTGATGTCGAGGGGAAACAGCGTCAGCTTGAGCTTCTTGGACAGCCTCGCCGGATAGGGAGGCAGGGATGACTGCTTATTCGAGATGGGCGGCATGGTCGAGCGCGGGTTGGGGGACGTCAGGGCGAAGACCCTCGCGGCGGCGAAGGCGTCGGCAACCGTGTTGAACTCGCCGTGGGGGGTGATATTTCCCTCGACGTGAACGGCGCCGCCCATAACGCAGAGTTCCTTGACGCGGAGGAAGGTTTCGGGGTCTTCGGCGGCGGCGAGGGCCACGTTCGTCATGGGGCCGACGACACAGATGGAGATGGTGTTGGGCTCGTTCTCCTTCAGGATGCGCAGGATCTCCTTGTGGGCGACCTGCTTGGCCGGGGTGAAGTACTGGTTGAACGGCGAAGGGTCGTGGTCAACATTCTTCTCGGTGTGGAAGAGGGACTGCCAGCGGTCATCCGGAGAGAGGTGCGGGTGCTTCTCGTGGACGCCGTGAAGGCCATCAAGCCCGTCTGCAGGAGATTAGGTGAGGATGGTCACAGCAGGGATATCGACTAGTGCCTTACGGAAGTAGTCGGCGGCCAGCTCGTCGTCTTCCAGAGCGTGCTCGGCACCGACTGCCACGATGGGCTTGTAGGCCTTCAGGGACTCGAAGCCCTCGGGCTTTCCATTCTCTTTGCGCCACGCAATCTCCTTTTCTAAAACGTGGAAGAGGGCCACAGTATTCTTCAAACAGCTTTTATGATGGTTAAATCTGAGAAAAAAAAATGGCGAGGCTTTTTTGACACGGTGTCGTAACTCACCTCTGCAGAGGCACATTTCCGTAAGTGACTGAAATCATCATGACCTCCAGCTCCTCAGGGGAGGCCGACAGGGCCAGGAGCATGGCCAGGACATCGTCGATACCTGGCATGGGTGCGTGAGTTACTTGCACATCATGGTACTTTCTTTATTCGTTCATTCATTCAGTTCTCACCTGGGTCGGAATCAATGATGACGCGGTTCTTGGGAGCCATGGCTGTGGTACTTGATGTATGAGACTGTGTTCAAATGGGAGATGAAAACTGTCTACGAGGATGAGAACAATATCGTCTCAAAAGACACAGTTGATCAGGTACACTGAGAGATAGCTGGGACACAGCAGTGAGATAGGAAACCAATAGTTGATGAGTCAGGAGCGGACTTCGGCGGGCACGTGAGGTAAGCTTGACGGAGGTGTCCGGTCTCCGCCTGTCTCCGGTGCAGGTGATAGAAACCGGCCCCCGGAATATATATGCGTGAGTCCCGTCTTTCTCGCCGGGCCTTTTTTGTGTGCACACAGTAAAGAGCAGGGCGTCGGTGTCGCATTGAGAAATTAGGCGGCTGACCCCTCATCGTAGACGTCGAGGGACCATGGCGGGGTTGCGCGGCGCCGCGGCCGAAGATCGAAGAGGACGCGCTAAGCCGTTTCGAGCTGCTGCGATCCAGTGTTGTCGATAAGACGAGGCAGGCGCTGCGGGAAGTTGGGGACTTTGGAGCACTGGACACCTGCCTACGGAGAACTCCCCCAGCTCTTATCGGGAAGCCAAGGGAAATGAATTTGACATGCGGCAAGTTGCAACTCTGGACCTTGCAAACATTGGATGAGACGTGGGAGAAAGGCCTCGGGAAGTTTGCTCAGATGAGGGTACCTTGCTCACTTGGCTGTCTGCAAAAAAGCTATTTTTAAGGCACCTTGAACTCTTTTTGAGGCTACGGGATGTACACGTAACCATCGAGTCTGACCGGGAATCCCCCATGGTATTGTTCGGCTGCACGTCAATTGACTTGCTGCACTGACAGCTTCCAACCAGGAAACAGTCATTTATTATCGGCGTGCCTGCCAGATTGTTTTCCAAGCACCTCAGTGCCATTTGGCCCAATCATGGAGCGTGCTTGTGGAGCCAGGTCACCACAGTCACGTGTAAGTGACACCTTCCGCGCTGGTGATGCCCCCTTGCCTTCCATTCACCAATTGTTGCCTCTCTCCACGTGACCTGTCTCTGCTCCATTTTTCCACGTTCGCCCGACCAGAGTCCGTGCTGGGGGGTGCGGATCCCTCGACCCCGTGGAAACGCGAAGCTGTCACTTTGGAGATCCAGAAATTACCTAACAGCACCCTGGAGATAACCTCATCTACCTGCCTACCATACCTACCCTTACCTTCCCTACCTCACCTGTACCAGTGGCTCGAGGCAAAATACCAGATCTCTCAGTGCAACTGTCAAGCAGTAAGTGTAACCATTCTCTCAAGTGTTCTCTTTCCTCCTACCTTATATCGCATCCCATCTCACACACACACCCGTGTCTCGCCCTCTCCTTTGCTGCCTCATCTGAGCCAGAAACACATCCCTGGGAAGACCAAACAACATACGCAATCGCCACTCCCGGAGACTCGGGCTCCACGCATGTCAGGGTTTGGTGCACACGGTGCAGCACCGCAGTAGCAGCAGCAGATACCCGTGGATCTCTCCAGCGGTCGGCTTTTGCATCCGTGGCATGAACCCCGGGCGCTTGCCTCAGCCAAAGACCCCCATTTGCTGCTACTGGCTCTGGAGCTGGAGCTGGGCCACTGGCGACAGGCACAATTGCTGAGAAGCCACCTGGTAACTTTTTTTTTCGGCCTGTCTCTCTCTCCTTGCCCAGCTACCTGCATCCGAACACGACATCCAAGCCGTCTTTCAACCGCGTGGTCGAAACGCCTCCCAATCGCCCTTCTTCCCTCTTCCCTTTTACCAATCCTTGTTGTTTCTCCTTCAACAATCCCAACCCCCGAGCATCACCGCTCTTGCCTTTCATCCTCAAGCAGCTCATC